ATTGGGCATTGCTCCCCTTCACAGATTTTGCAATCCAGCCTACCTGGCCTGCTGGCTGCTGCCCAGACATGACATTTCCTCTCCCATTTCCATACTTTTTCACAGGATGGTATCTGCCTAGAATGACTCCATCTCACCTCTGCCTCACAGAATCCCTTGATTTATTTAAAGTTCAAGTGCCAACTTCTGCAGGAAGCCTGTACTGATCCCCTCAGTTGCTGTACCCTCTCCTAGGAAATTAATTTGTGTCTTTGTTTTTGTATTTTGTTTGCATTTAATTTCTTCTGTTTATGTTGTTCCCCAAATAACATGTAGGCTCTTAGAATTGTTTTGTTTTGGTCTTTTTATGTCTACTTCCTAGCACAGTGCCTGTCACATATTTAGTACTTAATGTTTTTAAAATTGTTTTTGAAAGCCAGGTTGTACAGCTTTAAATGTCAAACAGTGGACTTTATATTTTATCTTAATGGCAACAGAGTCACTTCTTAAGCTTCTTAAGCAGATGAGTGACAAGGTCAGAACTGTGCTTTAGGGATATCAGTTTTGAAGCCCTATGGAAGAGATACTAGAGAGCTAGGCAGGCAGACCAAGTAGAAGGCCATTGTAGTAAGCCAGGTGAGAGAGGGGCAGTGCGTTACAGTGAAGGGGAAAACACTTGCTCTGGAGTCGGAGGACATGGGTTCAAATCTTCTCTCTAAGATTACTTGTGTGATTACTTTGGGTAAGTCATTTGATGTCCCTGGGCCTCAGATTCCATATCTGTAAAATGAGGGAGTTGAACTAGATGGGGGAAGGTCTTTGAGGTTCCTTCTAGCTCTAAATCTGTGATCCATGTGGGTGATGTTCTCAAGATGAGTGTATGAGCCCTGCCAAGGATATTATTATATTAGGATATTATATACAAACAATATAATGTTTATATTATAATGTAAATAATAATATGAAGGATATTATTAGGGATAGACTAGACAAGGTTTGGCAACTGATTGGCTGAGAGGAACAAAGGAGAGGAAAGAGTTAAGGATGACTCTGAGGTTTTAAATCTGGGTAACTGGAAGGGTGGTGGTACTCTTACAAAGGCAAGGCAGCAAACATTTATTAAGCTCTTACGATATGCCAGGCATTGTTATAAGTGCTGAACATACAAATACAAGAAAAAGAGACAGTTAAAGTCAGAAGCACAGCTAGAAGGGGAATGAAGGTTGGCTTGCCCATTCCCCTCCTCAAAATGGAAGCCTCACGAGGAACTCACCCATGGCAGAAGGGGCCATCATAACAGGGAAAAAAGGCCACAAGGGCTAATAGGTGTTCCAGATTGAGACTGCATATGAGGCATGGTGTTGAAATCCAGGAATAAAGAAATCAAAAGAAAGAGAGGGTTGTGTGGGGGTTGAGAAGAAAGACTAATGAGTTCTGCTTTGGACACATTGAGTTTGAAATGATTTTAGGGCATCCAGGTGGAGATATCCAGCAGGCAAGACTGCATCTTAGGAGAGAGATGAGGGCTAGTTTTATAGATCTGAGAGTCATCTACATAGAATTGAACCCATGGAACTGATGAAAGAGAGGATAGAGAGAAAAGGGAAGAGACCAGTCGTAGAAGGCCAGGATTGAGTTAGGTTATGGTACAGTCTCACAGCAAATACAGTGCAGCCAGCCCTCAGAGGATGACCTAAGGGGGAGACATGTCTTCCAATTAATGATCACTTGAGAAGGAAAGGCCTCCTAGGAGTGTGTAAGGACCTGCCACCATCTGTTTGGGGGCTTTTCAGACTTCAAAGAATCCCTAACTTCATGTGGCTTGTCTCTACCTGGGATCACCCAGCAAATCTTCACAATCAATGTTGCTTCGTTATCGTTGTGAAACTACTTGAGGGTTCTATCCTTTCTATCTCAGTAAAGCAGGTGCTGGCTCACATACCTAAACTAAGTGCTTCATTGCATCAACCATGAATAGGACAGGAATGATGATCCTGAAAAGGAGCCTGACAAAGATCAGTTAGAGGCACAGGGAGAATGGGGAGTTAAGTGTGATAAGAACCAAGGTCAGAGAAGGTAAATAGGAAGAAAGGGTGATTAACAATGTCAGGTAGCATAGAAGTCAAGAAGGATGAGGACTGAGAAAGGCCACTGGACTTAGTGATCACAAGATTATGGGTGACCTATTTCAGGTGGGTTTGGGAGCCAAACTGCAAGAAACTAAGAAGTAAGAGAGTAATAATAAAATGGGGACAAAATATGCTTTTTTCTGGCAGTTTGGCTGTGAAGTGGAAGAGAGACATATGACAATAGCTTGAGAGAACAGGATGGTTACTATGGCAGCATTACCATCCTTCCAGTCACTCAGTTTTATAAGCCTGATGTCATCCTCAACTCTTCTCTCTTGCTCACAAATTGCCAAACTGATTGCCTAATGGATGCTAAGTCTTATAACTTCTTTCTTTATAACATCTCTGGCATTTCTACTCACACAGTGACCAACATAATCCAAACCTAATCCATTACCTTTTGTCTGGCCCTATTGCAATAATCTTCTAATCGGTCTCCCAGGCTCAAGTCTTTCTCCACTCCAGTCTATCCACCATATAGCTGCCTGAGTGTAGATCTGGTCATGTCACCACTCCCACCCTTACCTCCCCACCACCACTCAATAAACTGTAGTGGCTTCTGATTACCTGTAGGGTCAAATATAAACTCTATGCACATAAACTGAGTGCCTTTTTTTTCTCTTGCGAAGAGCTAGACACAAGTCAGATTTCTGAGTTCCCAGGAGAAAGCCTGGATGTAGGAAATACATCATTTATCAATAGGCCAAAGATCTGTGACTTGGTTGGTATAGACATTCCCTTTCCTGATGCTAATCACAACACATCTATAACTTGCACTATTACAGAGTTTCTTGAAGTTCAAAGAGATTAAATTACTTGACCATAATCATACAATGTCAGAGATGGGATTTAAAAGTCAAACACACTCTTCACTATGCTATATAAATTCTGGTGGGAAGAAATATTAGCTATATTCTGATAATCTGGGTGAGCCAATATTGAGTGACAGCATGAGCCAAAAAGAATTTGGCTGGTAAGGAAACTGCAGTTACAGGTCATACTGTTTGAAGCCTTAAGTATTGATTACACCAAAAGGCTACCTTCTGAACTCTCTCCTATTCTCTGTGTCAGTTTGCATGATCCTGGTAGTTACTGGTTAGGGGGCTTTAATACCAAGGTTGTCAAAGTGAATCCGTCCTTGATGGCTACTGTGATTATTATCCTGGACAACATCTTCATGGGTCTGTTTTAGTAACTCTGCACCGATTCCCCATTGTACATTGTCAACACTTAGAGCATTGATCCTGGACTTATGCTAACTCCAAGACTTTGTGATTTAGGTCCTTCTGAATGGTTGGATATATTGAATTTATAATCAATGACCAGTTCTATATTAGGTTTATAAAAATAATATACTGTGATGATTATACTCATAATATTTCTTGGTCTGTAAGATTATATCTTATCATATAGGATTTAATTGTTATAGGCAAAGAAGTAATTTCAGAATCAGCTGTCTCTGTAATAAGAACACTGATAAGTTAGAACAAGGATCACTGAGAACAATTTATGGTATTACAGGCTTATAGTACAATACAAAGCATCTTATTGTTGTTATTCGGTCTTGTCTGACTCTTCATGATCTCATTTTGGATTTTCTTGGCAAAGATACTGGAGTGGTTTTCTGTTTCCTTCTCCAGCTTACTTTATAGATGAGGAAACTGAGGCAAACAGGGTTAAATGACTTGCCCAGGGTCATACAGCTAGTAAGTATCTGAGGCTGCATTTCAACTTGGGGTCCTCCTAACTCCAGGCCAACCACCCCATCCACGGTACCACCTAGATGTCCATTCAAACCACCTTTAACAAAAACTATAGGAATTCAAAAGAGATGAATTTGCCACTACTGATGCTGAAAAAGTCACTATTAATGCTGGAAAAACGAAGTAGACAGAAAATGTATGTTATCGTGGAGGATGACACAGCTAGAGACGCAGCCCAATGAGTGTGTTGGTCAGTATATTTTGAATAGACACTGCAGACAATGAGTCCAGAATTGAGTAGGAGCGGGATCAAGGTGGATCACATTTGGGAAATTACATAATACTTATCACATTCCTAAACTTTTGCAGCTATCAAAGCCTATCATGTTACTACTAGTGTTTACTCAGTGATGCTATATTACTGCAAATCCTGGAACACCAAGAATAAAAATTATGAATAATCCAAATAGCAGTGGAAAGCTGCATGGGAGGTATAAATTGTCAGCATCATGTGACTTGAGTCTGTAGCAGTAACTTGCATATGAGAAGTAGTACAAGAGACACTTAAGGGAAATGTGACTGGGAAATGAGGTGGGCTCATCATGCAGTGAATATGAAAGGAAAGAGGTGAACAGTCTCAGTGGTACATTGGTATAGCTAAGAGAAATAAAGAAAATAGAGCAATGCCTTCAACAAGGTGATGGATCTTTTATACCAAAGTTGTAAGAAGATATAGATAAGGATCACACAGGATGAAATGTGAAGAGGTTGTGATATGTATCAATTTGAGAGGGTACAGGGACAGCTAGGTGGCACAGTGGATAGAGCACCGGCCCTGAAGTCAGGAAGACTTGAGTTCAAATCTGGCCTCAGATGAAATACTTGACACTAGCTGTGTGACCCTGGGCAAGTCACTTAACCCCAACTGCCTAAAAAGAAAAAGAAAACGATTTGAGAGGGTACTAAATGAGAAAAAAACCAGGGCTCCATTAAATAGTAAAATTACTAATGAATAGTCATTACCCCATTACATTTCTAAATCCTCATGTTCCATACCAGTATGAATGAAATTATGTCAACTTATATTGTAAAAGCATTAACCATTGATGCTATTTATCAAGAGACTTTATTTTTCACAAATAAACTTAAAACATGTCTTGATTCTTTGTTATTTTTTACATTTGTCAAGTCCTTTCATAATCATTTGAAAGTCCAGAATTTCCCAATGAAAAAGCGAACTCCAGAAGAGTTGAAAGAATTGGAGACAGTTTTACAGATAAGGAAGCTTCAAGAAGCTGTACTTAAAGTATGGGTTTGAATGTGTGTGTGATGCCTTTTAACTTAGTCTCTCTTAGTGCTGACTTTAATTGAAATGCAGTGTAAAAGATGTTGAAAATGTCATTTCTGTTAATATTTACAACTTATTACTTTATGTAATAAATTCTACTAAGTAATATATGCTTGTTCAGTTAGCATAGATTTTTTAAAAATATGAAAATGAGCATAGTACGTGAACTTTTAATTATTTAGTGAGTAGTGATGAGGTATTGCCTTTAGCCATTGATACTTTTTCCCCTTGTCCCTTTTATATGGTGATGTACAATTTTAAGAAAAGTAGTCAAGGGCAGAATGAATTGTTACTTTGGAGCAATATGTTTTTCCATGCAGAATTATCCCGTACAGGTTAGAACTCATAGCTGTGTACTTTACCTGGCATTAAAAGAACAAAGTCAGACCCTAAAAAAAACAATATCTCTAGATGTAGTATGAGCTGCTGCTGAGCAGTCTAAAACTTTCCATTTATAGTTTCTGAAGTATAAAACATTCACTATTTGCTGCTTAACTTATACATAGCAATCATTATTTGAATTAGTTCCTGTATAAATTACAAACTCATTAGACATTTTTTTTTTCATATTTAAGTACCAAAACCACCTCTAAATATTTAAAAGGACAAATTGTTTTATCAGCCTTATACTGCTGAGTGCAAGGTGGCACAGCTAGGTGGTACTGGGCCTGGAGTCCAGAAGACCTGAGTTCAAATCCAGCTTTATTAGATACTTATTAGCTGTGAGACCCTAAGTAAGTCACTTTACCTCTGTGTGTCTCAGTTTTCCCATCTGTAAAATGAGAATAATAATAGCATCTAATTCTTAGGGTGTTGTGAGGATAAAATGAGATAATCTTTGTAAAGGACTCTGCAGACTTTAAAACATTGTATTCATTGTTGTTCATTTGTTTCAGGCACATCTGATTCGTTGTGACCTCATTTGGGGTTTTCTTGGCAGAGATATGGGAGTGCTTTGCCATTTCCTTCTCCAGCTCATTTTACAGATGAGGAAACTAAGACAAACAGGGTTAAGTGTCTTGCCCAGGGTCACACATCTAGTAAATGTGTAAGGCCAGATTTTTTTTTTGATGAGGCAATTGGGGTTAAGTGACTTGCCCAGGGTCACACAGCTAGTAAGTATCAAGTGTCTGAGACCAGATTTGAACCCATGTCCCCCTGACTCCAGGGCCAGTGCTCTATCCACTGTGCCCCCTCTAAGGCCAGATTTTTAACTCAGGTTTTCCTGACTCCAGGCTTAGCACAATCTACTGTGTCACCTAGCTACCAAAGCATTATAAACACTAGCTATTGTTATTGCTATTATTTATCTATAGTATTTATTAGTCTCTGAAGATTTAATCTCTTCTATAGGAATTTCTAAGTCTGCCTACAATTTTGAATACCAGTGTTGAAAGCAGAATTTAAAGTCTTAGGGTGATTTTTAAATAATTATCTTAACTGGTTGACATTTAGGGAAGTTGTTTGCTAATAATGAATGTGTGTTTTTTCATACATAGTTGCAAAAGCATATTGTAGAGGTTTATCCCACAGCTTCTTCCCTGGGTCGAAAGACACATGAAGAAGAGGAAGACGAAGAGGATGAGGATGAACAGGAATTAGCAAAAAAAGATAGTGGCGTACTCGATTATCTACTTGGAAGTTTATGTACAAGCTTTGGTATAGATATAAGCATATTGAATAGGCAATTGGAACTTCATACCAGAGAGGACAAAATCAACCAGATTATATTATTGAAGGTGAGCTATTTTTATCTTTGAAATTAGTAGAGCTTCCTTATAAAGTGCTTTTTTTTTAGGTTGCATACTAGATTAAAGTGCAGATCAGTGTTTTCCCCTTTTTAAGTTGATATAGATCTGAATAGGGGTGGCTTCAGAGCCTGGAAGACCCAGATTCAAGTCCTATCTCTGACATGAATTGGTTGTGTGACCCTAATCTCTTAATGCCCTAAGCACTAAAACTTTAAATTGCTGATTCACATTGTAAGAGGGACTTTCCTCACCAGTGGGCTCCTTATAGCAGTGAAATATCACAGGCTTAGTCCCTATCCCTATCCTATGTGCTGTTTTATAATAGTATAGAAAATATACAGAATTTGGATCATTGTGACATAGCCTGTAGGGGATATATAAGGAGTACATTGCATTAGTGTCCCACATTATAATTAATACAATCCTGGGATGCCAGTCCTGCTTTTGGGCAATGGATCCTTTCTTCTTTTTTTTAAAAAATCAAAAAGCCTTTAACTTTAAGTGATGTGTGTATGTGTGTATGTGTGTACAATGATAAGGCAAAGAAAATCCTGTTCCCGTACTATTTTATTTATTTATAAATGGTAAGAAAAAACATTCTGATCTCATGACAATATAAAGTCTTTTTTTTATCATCTTTGCTCCTAAACCACCAAATGTCAGAGAATGGAAAATAGAGCATAGACTCAACATATTTTTGATTGAGTGAAACCTTCAATTAAAAGTCAACCCAAAGGTTATCTCCTTGATATCTATGCTGGTGCCTTTACCTTTTGGCAATAAGGAGCCCCTGAAGATTATTGTGCTGGGGATAACTTTGAATCACTGAATTTTAGAACTGGAAATTACTTTAGCTCATGTAGTCTAAACTTCTCATTTTGTAGATGAGGAAACTGAGACTCAGAGAGTTAAATGACTTGTCCAAAGTCATAGTTGATGATAGAATCCTCATCTCCTGATCTCTACTTCAGTACTCTTTTTTATCATATTCTATGAAAAAGTATTCTTTTAGGAAAATTAATCTGATTTTGATTTGCAGGATAGATTTAGGGTAGGGAGATAGTGAAGAGTTGTTAAAATTGTAGGATAATATTATCATTAAAACTGCAACCTTTAACCAATCTGTGGTATTTCAGGACATTATTTACAAGATTAAAACCACTTTTAATAATGAGTTTCATGCCACCTTTCAACAAAAAATGTTGGAAATAGCACGTGTGAGGGAAAGAAACATAAGAATTCAAGAAATCATCACAAATCTAGAACTTGGGGAAGAGGTCTGGCAACCAGAAATAGAGGATTGTGAGAAGCCAGACTTAATTCTAACAGTAGAAGAAGATGAGGTACTGTTCAGCCTTTTCATCCTTTCCTTACCTTCTCATGCCACTTTTATGATTTTTTTTCTAGCTTTTTCATTAGTTAGATTGCTGACGGAAGCCATAGACATAGATGGTGTCAACAATAGCAGTAATTATAATAATTATAATGACAGCTCATTCATCTCATGCTTTACACTTTATAAAGTATTTTCCTCACAACTTTATGGGTCAGAGAAAGTATTACACTCATTGTAACAATAAGGAAAATGAGGGTCAGGAAACTTAAGTGACTGGCCCACTGTTAGCAATTAGTTGTCACAGCAAGTAGTTGTCATAGTCCATTTCAGCAGTGATGGGACTTGGGTACCAGAAATGTGAAGAGCAGTAGCTCTTTCATTATGACATAATTCTTAACTCACAGAAAGAAAGGCATAAAGAGATTGGAGTGCAAGAACAAGGGAAAATGAGTTCAGGACAAATAATACCCCCAGGGCTTAATGGTCACAGCAGATAGTTTCTAGCCATGAATGCAATGATCTCTGGGCTACAGCAGAAATAAGAAGGGGCCCAATGATGCTTCTGTGAGAGCCTGGGACTGGCATATCTAAGCCCTCATTCCTCCTTCAACAGATGAGATGCCTAGATCATTCATCCTCTCCACCAGGACAGCTCAAATGACAGGCCAGGACGAGATCTTTTATACAGATGAGAAACTGATCCTAGTAACTTCCTCACTTATGGACTCTGGGACTAGAGGCCAATGAATGCACATACTCCACCTTTAACTTCATAAGCAAATCAATACAAATAGCTTATGAGAGTAATTACATGGGAATCTAATTACATGATATGCTAGGGCATAGGGGTCCAAAAATGAGCAATAAAAATAATAGCTAGTACTTATATAGTGCTTTAAGGTTTGCCAAGTGCTTTACATGTGTTGTCTTCGTTGATCCTTAAAACAACCCAGCAAGGTAGGGGCTAGCAATGGGTTTCACTGGCCTGCAACTTTGTCACTAGATAATTTCAAATCAATCAATAATCAATGCTAAGTGCCCTGAATACAAATGTGGAAAAGAATGATGATCCTGGCTTTCAAGGAGCTTACAAGAGAGGACAGCACACAATAGAAGCTAAAAGGGGAGGGGAGTGGTGAAGGAAGATGGTACTGAGGCATGGTAGAGAAGACAAAGAAGTAAAAGATGAGCATAGCTGGATGGAAAATGAAGAGATATCTGAATAGATGCTGGACCTGTACCCCTGCTTAAATGGAGGGGTTTGTAGTTCCACCTGTAAGAAGAGGGGCAGAGGGTACTGATAAGGTGTGAGTAACAAAGGCTGATTGGATCTTTCAAGATGATGAGATTTCCTAATGATGAGTTTGGGGAGTGGTATGGTGAAGAAGCCAGAGTCTAAAATGCCAGGTGACAAATGAGATGATTTATAACTGCTTCAAACCAAGGTATTTACAAAGTTTACACAAGGGCACAGGGGTGACAGAATTGAGTGGAAGGATTCCGTGAGACATTCTTTCCCTCAGTAATTTATGGCTGCCTCAGTAGATTGGTTGGGTCTTGAGCCTAGGACTTTTGACTGGTTTCAATATCCATTCCATTATAACATGCTAGTTCTCACTAAAGGAAGTAAAAAGTGCTTAGGACCATATTTAATTGAGAAAAAATGAATCATAGGATCATAGAGTTACAGGTAGAAGGAACTTTAGAGATAATCGAGTCCAACTTTCTGATTTTATTTTATTTTATTTTTTCAGTCAAAGACAAGGTTTATTAGAACATCCATCATATTTGGGCAGATTCTTAAGGAGTCTGAACATGAGTAAGCAGTGGCTAGATTTTAGGAATCTGAGCAGTGGCTAGATTATAAGACTCTGAGTCTTGGCTAGATTATAAGAATCTAAGCATCTTAATGGAGACACAGTGGACCTTATAATACAGAAAGCCTGTGGGCGGGATCTAGGAGTGGCCAAGTAGTTTGGGGTGATGGGAGGAGGGGCCTAAGGAGATCTGGATGGGAAGGGAAATGGCTAGCGGCCATAGAGAGGTAAGACAATGGAGGGGAGATTGGGTGTAGCCACAGTGAAAGGCCAATTGACTGGATTATAGCCTCAGGCAAATGCCAGAGATTTGGCCATGTGGGAAAGTCCCCGGTTTTTCCTTTCTGGGGCCCAGATCCCATCCTCATCATTCTTCCCTCAAACAAATGGGACCCAAATTCTTTTGGAGTAAGGGGCAAAGGTCTCAGCTTCTGAAACGGCTTCCTGCTGGCAAGGGGTGTAGAGCTATCCCTGCCTCAAGGGGGTCCCAAAGAGGAGGTTGACTGGAACCAAGCACAGGCTGCATCCAGGGGATGATGTGGGGACATTGGCTGGTACTCGATGTTTGCTACCAACTGTAGGTGAATGGCCCATATTCTGGAAGACAAATCTGACAGAAAAAACTGCAGGGCCAGATATAAAGCAGGGACTAGATTTAGGGCCCAACTTTGAGAGGATAAAACATCCTTAGCTCTGTTTGGATTCAGATAATTCAGATAATCCAACCATGCAGTATCAAATCCACCTCATAGCCAGAATCAGGAATAGACGGTGGGTAACATTCCCTTCCAAAGGAACATAAAGGGGAAACTGAGCCAGGAGGATCCCATCTTAGACGGAGGCTAAAATTGTCCTCTCAGCTTTTCCCAATGCTGACTTCCCACCACTATCACCTTCTCTGAGTAGCTTGTGGCATTTCTCTCAGATGGTAGATTGATTATCAATGGATTATGACCCATCAGACAACTCAAAATAAAATCCTATCAGCTTTTACCTCAACCAGCAAGTTTTACTAATCACAGCTTAGGAAAAACATTTTCCAGGATTTATATCTCAAACAAATTTGTCATGGTGTAAAAAGCCAATCATTAGAGATTTCTATACACTTGCAAATTCTCAGCAAGCCATGCATAACCCAAACAAGCTTTTTGGCTAGTTTACACATTAAAACAATAACCAACAATAGCTAAATTATTTTAACAGTAACCAAATTATGAAAAGTTGTTTGACATAACTAATATAGAAAGTTCACCAATTTGAAACTTCAGACATACCCATTACCAATCAGGTGACTTCAGTTTGGCTAAATGCACTTCCAAATTACTTTACCCAGAGAATCAACATCTCATCATTAACTTTTAAAACTACAAATTTAAAAGAGCATGCTTACCCAAGTTTGGAGGCTAGCTTCATTACCTTGAGCAGGATGTGCTGAACCTGGGTGATGCTTCCAGGCAAAGGTTGCCCCAGAGTCCAAGGCCATTGCCTGTGGGGCCCATCCTGTAACTGCTGCCCCTCCTCCTGCCTTCTTTTCCTAGGTGGGGGAGGATGAAATCAAAGGTGAGGGGTGAAGGGTGAAACTCTCTTAGGAGAAGAGTAGTTAACAGATACCCTCTTGACTCAAGGGAAGGGAGTGACCAGGTTGTACAGGTGTTTCAAAACTCCTTAATGATCAATCACAAAACCTCTAGAATCTGCCAAGATATTTTTAGCTGTTCTAACTTTCCTTGTAACCTCCATGAAGGAGGATTCAGAGGTGCAGAGGGAAGGGAGTTAGTAAGCCTCAGGGAACCAAAATGCAACTGCAGTTTTCCCCAATTCCCTAGCACTGAGGGAATTAACAGAATTGAGCATACACTTCTGAATAGGGCATCTGTCCTTGTCCTCTATGCTGTGGAAGGTGTGCTCAGGTCCATGGCCTTGAACCAACCCAGTGGACCGAGAGCCTGAGAGCATCAGGCCAACTTTCTGATTTTAGAGATGAAGAAACTGAGGCCCTGAGAAGTTAAGTGACTTACCCAGGGTCATAGAGCTAGTAAGTGTTGGAGGCAGGATTTCAACCCAAGTCTAGCATTCTATCTCCTACACCACTTGGCACCATACTTACAAAGAATTAATGTTTCATAGGATACCTCTTATACCAAAGCAACAACAACAACAAACAATAGTATCCAACATTTATAGAGCACTTTAAGGTTTTCAAAAAGCTTTAAAAATATTAGTTGATAAATAAACATTTATTAAACACCTACTATGTACCAGGTATTGACCAAGTACTGGAAATACAAAAAGAAGCAGAAGACAGTCCCTGCCCTCAAGGAGTCCACAATCTGATGGTGGGAGACAACAAGCAAATAAATATCTAAAACCAAGCTACATATAGGATAAACAGGAAATAATTATAATGGGGGGGTGGAGCCAAGGCAGAGAAAAGGCAGAGACTCACCTGAGCTCTCCCAAATTCCCTTCCAAATTATTTTAATAATGCCTCAAAACAAATTCTGGACCCACAAAAGGATAAGGTGACACAATTTTCCAGCCCAAGACAACTTGAAAGGTTGAAAGGAAAGATCTATCACAATGAAGTGAGAGTGGAGTGTACTCCAGTGTAGACTACAATAGTGTAAGCCTCACCCCAGCAAACCAGTAGCAGGCTTTGGGGGCAACTTAATCAGTGGCAGCAACAGTAGTTTCTCAGCTCACAGAAGGCAAATGAGTCAGGCTGGTCAGAAGGAGATTCCAGGGTCCTTTTGGGGCACTGGGTATAGGATTGTTGCTTTGCCCATACTTGGATCTGGGTCTCAGTCCTGGGTGAAGAGGAGCACTAGCATACCAGAGCTTGTGGCCTCAGGGGAATGGGGACCCTAGTCAAAATTCTAAGGCTGAAAAAAGTGCTTGTGGTCTCTCATAGACCAGAAAAGAGGCCAGGAGAGTAGTAAACACCCCTCTCCTTAGATCATACCACCTTGGAAGAACTGAAAGCTTATAAACCTGTAGAACTAGCTCTGAAAACAGCAGTACAAAAAACCTGAAGCTTGGGACAGTGCCTTCTCCACCCTGGGAGCAGAGCCCAACTTTAATATAAAGCTAAAAGTCAAGAAATATGCTAGAAAAATGAGCAAACAACTAAAAACCTACCCTCACCTTAGAAAGTTACTAAGGTGACAGGGAAGATCAAAACACAAACCCA